CACATTTCAGAAAGAGATGACTCCATTCCATATGTAGTTTATTGTGCTTGTAAAACATCTGCATGAGCTTGTGAAAAGCTTTGCTCTTACCAAAGAGCTTTGTTCACGTCTTCTGAAAAGTGGAAAATTATGAAGGGATTTAATTTTCTCCCTCCTAAGTTAATTGTTGCTCTCAAGAAGACACGCTGACCAATTGAGCATCCCTTTGTTATTTACTATTTGTCATATTATCATTTTATGCCTCCACACTGTGTCAAATGGAGAGACAGACCACTGCCACTGTTAAAACCACATCAGTTTTGCTTGTGATTTACAGAGGTTTGGGGTTTTTTTCCTGGAACCTGTACTCAGACCTTTAATGTGCTTCCTGCCTGCCTTGTAGTTCACCTCCACTTGCACAGCAGTGCTTTCTGCAGAGATGTGACTGTGAAGTTGACTGTAGTTTGGCAACAGAGATGTCTGATATGAAAGTGGTGACATTTGCCAGCCGTGGGCTCTACAACTGCAAAGCTGAGGCAGCTATATCAGCTTAATTAATTGCATTCCTAGCTGTATGAACTGAGACTGAGACTCAAAAAGGGTGTGTAGGAAGAAGGTAGGGTGAGGAGTAATTCCAGGAAAATTATTTACTTTTGTTACATTCCTGGAGTAGGGAAAGTTGCATCCCTCCATAGGAGTCTGGCAAGAGTTAAGCCATGCATGGTAGCTCAGGGAGCCCAGTTGTATCTGTTCCACTGAAAAGCAGAATTTCTATTACATCTTCTTTGTGTTATTTGTTTTTACAAGCTAAGAAATGGTTGGGGCATCATCTCTGTGTGAAATGTGGTCTCCTCTTGACTGGCCTCTCATGTGCCAACAACATGAAGCCGTAGAGGCAAGCCCAGATCTGTGCCCTTACAAAGCATCACAGTGAAAAGGTTTGTTGCTTCTCTTTGGAAACAATTCCCCTCTTCCACACTCATGATTGCACTTACCTGTTTTTCCCACTGCAAGCTTTGTGGGCACAGCCTGGCCCTCCAGCCAGTCCTGTATATTTACATTATAATGTATAGGGAGCTTCACCTTTGTCCCTACACACTTCTGGCCCTTATCTCTCTGTCATCTGGCTTTTCTACAATTGTGTTTTTCCTGTCATTCATCCATTTCTCTTGTGGACTGTTATTTTTATTCCATTGCCCTTCATCCTCCTTTCCCATTCCTATAGGCATATTACAGGTTCTCACTGCAGCCTTTCCACCTTCAATGCTATTTGACCATAGAAAACAGTGACATCCAATCTATCTGCCACTGTCCTGACAAACAAAAAGGGAAGTTCTCTCTTTGCAATCAGGATGCAAGTAACCTGAAGGATGGATTTGAGCACAGGGATTACAGCTGGAACAATAATGCCTTTGTAATACTGTCAGGATTATTCCCCTCCTGTGGAGAAAAACTTGAAGAGCAAAACCCAGTCTTCAAGCAAACAGAATCTCCAGCTGTCAGTGCTTTTGCTTCCTCTGGAGGAGACACATGCCTGTCTAAATACAATATGCCTGAAGACCAACACTTGGCATCTAATGACTATTGAAACATGATGTGTTTCTAAAATCCTCTGAAAGCAATGGAGGGGAAAGGGAAAGGCCTTAAATGGGGCCTAGGCAGTGCATCTTCTGTTACAGGACAGATTCCTGATTAGTATCCTGATTCTCAGCCCAGGCCAGCTTAGATTTTGGTTTGCTTTAGCAAATTGTTTGTATGACATCATACTTACCCTAGATGATTATATTCTTGAAAATGCAGGTGGGAGAAATAATAAAGACTAAAAAAAAGTCACAGACATTTTGTGCCTTCCCATCAACAGCTTGCTGGAGACTTTTTTTAATGGGCAGTGCTCACACATTTTACTCTTAAAGTCCTTTTCTAGGCTTTTAACTGAAATGGAATTCAGGGCAGGCAATGCAGCCTTTGTTTGTTTTAACAGTATTCCCATTTTTGTAAAAAAAAATTCTCTATGCACAAGTGAAGCCAAAAAGAATTGACCAAACCCTTCCCCCAAAAATGCTCATGCATTTGCTCACGGGCTTGCTTTTTGATAAGCACTCTTACAGAAAGGCACGATTTTACACTTGCAGGCAGGGCTGTTTGTCACTGCACGCTGGAATTGGATCTACCTTCCCCCGCCAGCCTCAGGCTACTCACTTGCTCCAGAATCCCCCAGGTTCAGGAGGGAAGCACAGCTCCTCTCTAGCTTGGCCTTGGACTGAATCACACGGATAGTTTAACTTAGCTCTGGCTCAGGAAGCAGCGAGCGTGCGTGTTACATAATATAATCTTCATGTCTTGAGGATTCAGGCCTGTCCTCTTTTGTGCTGCCAGATGGAAGAGGAGCCACGCTCTCTCTGGAGAGATGTCCCTGCACATCTCGCTGCTCAGCTGTGCTGGAATTAATGTGCTTCTCTCTGCAGCGGGGCACTGTTGTTCCCTGGCATTTGGCTCCAGAATAACTAGCTCTTTAGTATGCAGTGGATGCTATGCAGCCACTGGGATCCCAAGATTAATTTGTCTAGAAAAAGAGATACATGAAGAACCTCCAAAAGGAATTTGTGGGAGGATGTACTCCAGATTCTCTCAACAGCTATGGTTTGTTCCCAGCTGAAACCCAGATACAGGTGTTGTGGACAGCCAGGTTTCTGCTTTGTGCTCTCACTCTGTCCCATTACAGTTTTTTCAGCTGCTGCTGCTGTTTTGTTCCTCGATTCTGTAACATGGCCCCTGTCTGCACTGTTACTGCCTCTGTTAGTCAAGCCGTTTCATGCCCTGATCCCTGACGTGCTCTCCAAAGGGATGAATCACACCTGCACTAGTGAGTCCCTTCTCACTAATGAGACATATGCTCCAAATTCTGCAGTGCTGTTGATTGAGGCAAGGAGCTACAACCTACCTGTAGACAGAAATTGCACTACAGTCCTCAGGAATAGCTCAAAAGACCCCAGGGAGGGTGAGGGCAGTGTTAGTCAAACTAGCAAGGAATCTTATCTGTGGGACTTCCTCACAACAATGCCTCATCAGCACCAGCTGTAACTCCAAAAACAGCAGCTTCTCTAGAAGCAATGTTACATCCTGATGGAATTAACTCCCCAAGACATGGAGCTATTGAGAAATATTTCTTTCAGCCTCCTGCTACCTCTGAGATTCCTGGTAGAAGGACCCCTGTAGCAGCCATGGCTCCAGCAATGCAGGTGCAGTAGGGAAAGCCAGGAGTAATATTCATCCAGCCATGAGTAGTGATTCTGCACTGCTGACAACAAACAGGAGCAGCCTGTTCTGAAATAAAAACCAGCCCACAACAAAACCCCAAAAGGTACCTTGGCTATAATTAGGAGCTGAAATGACACTGCAGGTTTGAGTGGAAAGTTGGTGCTTGACAAACGTCCCTGCCATGAATCCCTTCAACAGCCCATTTAGCCACCACAACAGCTGCTGCCAAGTGTCCTAAGCAGGACAGGGGCAGAGGGGCCAGCCTCTTCTGCTCTCTGCCATCCACGGGATGGATGGAGGGCACCTTGGGCAGGAATTGCACATGGCTGCTGCGCATCTGGTGCTGATAGCACAGCTGACGAGATGAGGCAACGCTGAGCCAGGGCTGCAGCATCTTCCTCTTTCCATGGCAGCTTTGCCCTGACCAGCACATGTATCTGTAGTGGTGGGGGCACAGCAGCACAGGCTGCAATGGGACCCCAGGCTGCAGAGAAGTTGCACTTGTATTGTTGCAGAGAAGATTGTCATCACATAGTAACTGCTGTGCATGTGCCAGCAAGAGCAGAGTGAGCATGAGTAAGCTTATTATGCGATAATCACACCTTCATCTTTCTGGGTAGATAAACTGCTGAGGTATCCAAGTCTGGCAGTGAGGCACAATCACTGTCTGAGGATGAGCAAGAAGCAACTGGGACCTTTCCCCATTGGAAACATGTCTGATTTGATGTCATTATCTCTTTCTGTTTTTAAACAGAACATCGTTATTGAACTACCTGTTGCCACTTAATTACCTGTGTTTGATTACAAAGATATTAAGTTATCGGCTTTTTAGGTAGAAACTCCTTCATTTTTATATCCTTGCATGATGTCCCCTAGCAAAGCTTTTATGTCCATTTCAAAAGCTGCATTGAAACTTCTCCTGTGAGCTATGTCAGGGGCACAGCAGCCCAGCCTCCTGTCCTGAACTTTGTGAAATCAAGACTTTGAATCCTCTCTGCTATGGTGGTCAGACCTATAGGTGCCGACCTATGGGGCAGTGTCCACTGCGGCCCCGTGTCGGGAGGCTGAGCACACGGGTGGTGCACTCAGGTGGGCCACGACCCCCAAACCGTGCTGGGTCCTGGTTGCGGTGTTAAGGAACTGTCCGAGGGGCACAAGTGTGGGCAGGTGGGTCACCCCGCGGGGCAGGCATGCTCACCTTCCCGGCTCTGCCCTGGGAGGCGCTGAGCTCCTTCCCTGGGAGCTGAGGGAGCTGAGGGAGTCAGGCCTCCCCCACCGTCGCCCCCGGGACGCCGCCAGCCTCGCCGTCTGCGCCGCCGGGGGCGATGGTCCCGCGACTCCCGCCCGCCGCCGCGCCGGGGGCTGCGGCCCTTGGGCCCCCACCGCCGTGCCCGGGGCTGCCGGGCCCTGCACGCCCGCCGCGCTGCGGGAGCGCCGCCCGCCGCCGCCCGCACCCCTCGGCGGCGCCGCTTCGCCTGCGGCGCGCCCCGGCCCGAGCCGGCCCCCGGCGGGGGGAGGCCCCGGCTCACCTGGAGAGGCGGCGGCGGCGCGGAGGGTGGGGGGGCAGAGCCCCGGAGGGGGAGACGGTGCCCGCCAGCCCCCGCCGGAGCGCCCCTGCCGCGGCCTTTGTCTGCGCTGTCACATGGGCCGCGGTGCGGGATTTAAGCGGGTCTCCGCAGGACATGCCGTGAGCGGCGCGCCGCAGCCCTGCCCGCAGCGGCAGCGCTCCGCCCGGCCGGGGATGCGGCTCTAGCGGCCCCGCGATGAGCGGCTCCTCCATGGCGAAGAGCGAGTCCCGCACTTCGCTGCTGAAGGCGGCGGGGAGCCGGCGGGCGGCGGGCGGCCAACCCCAGCCCCGCGGCAGCCGCGTCCGGGACGGCAAAGGACAAGGCGGGCAGATGGGGAGGGAGCTGAGCCAGGAGCAGCTCCCCGGGGAGCCCAGTGCCCGCAGGCCGCTCTGCCACCCAGGCGCCCGGGAGGACGGAGCGAGGGGCGCGGGGAAGCTGTCACATGGACGGGGGGAGAGTCAGCCCGAGCCGGCGGAAGGAGGTCCAAGGAGAGGCAGCGGCAAGGAACCGGTGCGGACATCCAGGCAGCATCACCACCTCCCGCCGCACGCCAGCCACGGTCACCCCCAGGACCAGCATCAGCTCTCAGACAGGGATGGGGAGGAGGCAGAGGAGGACTTTTTCTTCAGTCACAGGCAGAGGTCCAGCAGAGAGTCCCTGAAGCTCTCGGAAGGCGCTTCACCTCTGTCCAAATCCAGCAGCAAGTGCTCCACCAAGTCCAGCGGCAGCGATCGGTCAGTGGAAGCGGATCCCCTCATCCAGCAGCTGCACCCCATGCTCAGCTCGGTCTTTGGCCAGGTAAGGGGCAAAGCGCCCCTCGCCACCCACCCCTCCCTCTCTTCCCACCCGCTTTCCCTCCGCGCCCCCTCCTCCTGCGGCTCACGGACCTTCGGCTCCTCGCTCCGGAGTCCCCGCGCCCCCGGGCACAGCCCGCAGCTGTAAATGCACTGCTTCCTGGCTGCCCCTGCCGAACTTCTCCCGGCGCTGCGGCACGGCCGGGGGCGCTGCGGGGTCGGCCCCGAGGAGGGCTCCGCGCCGGGGACGGGGCGCGGGTCAGAACCCCCGGCCCCGCCGGGCGCTGCGAGGGCGCTCTCGGTGGTGCTGACGGGGGAAGTGCCGGTGCTTTCCCTGTCACCGGGGGAAGTTGTGGCTCTGCCTGCTGAGGGTGAGAGTCAGAGAAGCGGATTTTTAAAAGCTATTTACTTATTAGATTCTATCTCTCTGGCTCCCCGCCTTGCTTTGCTGTATTTGTTTACATCTCCTTATGGTACATTTCTGTACAATCAGCATATGAATCATTTCTGATGGCAGAAGCTGTCAGGAGAAGGTAGTGGGGAGGACGACAAAAAAAATCCTGACCCAATTCCGAAGCCTTCCCAGTCACTGTGTTAGAATGGAACAGATGCTTTTGGTGTTTGCAAGCTCTTTTGGTACAAAGCTGTCGCTTTTAGCTGCTTTTGGTAGTGAAATTACCCAACACGGTTACCCTCTAAAAATGAAAAGGCAGAGGGAGACTAGCTTGAAATTTTCTTTTAGAGACATCTAGGGATGTTACTGGAAAATATAATCTCTGAGAAGATTAATGTAACTGCAATCTTCCAGAAGCACAGTTATAGGTATAAGCCAGTAGCCTGGGTGGCTAAGTTCCATCCAGCCCTGGAAATGATCGATTAATCCAGAGTTATGATTTCTGGAGTTTGTTATCCAACGATGAGTCTTTTCTTTTTCCTGTCTTTTTTTTTTTCCCTTCCCTTTTTTAATGGGTGTTTGGGATGCTTTGCAGGGAGCCCATTCAGACTGGGATTATGGAGAAAATTAGAAAAAAATGTTGTAATTGGATGGAAGGAGATGGTACACCCGTATGTTTAATATGGGAGTGTTGTTGACTTCTGTTCATCTTGACTTCTCCAGATAAAAATCAAAGAACATCTGCTCTCTCCAAAGCACAACACTTTTCCATCCTCACTGGCAGTCTGCTGTTTAGGAATTTTACAGTTGTGTTTAACTTAAAACAAGTATTACCCTCCCTGTGCCAATGGTGCATCCAAAGTATAGATTAAAATTTTGTTGTGACAATAAGGAAGAGCCTGGTCATCAGATTGATGCTCAACCAAGTTACAAAAAGCCATATTCTAGCACCAGGCTTTCAAATGCGTGGTCTTGGCTCTGATTTATGCTGTAGTTCTGAACGAAGTGAAGATGTATCCAAGAAAAAATTTTAAGTCTATGGAGCTGTATGTCCCCAAAGCATCACAAATACAAATTCATGCCAGGTCTCCCACTCATGGAAACCCCTCTGATTTTAAGCTTAGTCCTTACCTGAACAGCACCTTTATTTTACCTGTTCTGCTGCTCGCATTCCAGTGTCAAAAGACAGTTCTGAAAGCTGTAAATGTAGCAAAATTTACCTGTGGTGTTCAACAATGCCCTTCACTGAAATGAGAGAGATATGATTATAATTTTCACTTTTTCACTGAGTACATTGCACCAGTGCTTACACACACACACCAGCATCTTTCTTTTGGAGTGTAGTGTTATTTATTGCATTTTCTCTCTGTATTCATCTCTCACTTGCTTTCTTTGAAGTAACTGTGACAGAATGAAAATTTACTGGAGATTTTAGGACTGACTTTTAGGACTGGGCTGTAGTAGATCCCCTTGTACAGGGGCAAGATGGGGAGCTATAATTTTTTATAATTTAGGATACACAAAGAGCTGGTTACATGAAATACGTGAAGCTTTTTTTTTTTTTTTTTTTTTTTTGGTAGTGATATCAAAATCCTGGGATGAATAAAGGCCCAGGTGTAAGTTGTACGGAAATTCTGTCATGGCACAGAATGATACAAATTTTGTTTCTGTGAATGAAGAAATAAATGCCCAGCATTGTGTAAAAATATGTGCAAAGGTTTGAAACAGGCAAGGACTTATACCTGTGGCAGGGTCATAGGTGCAGACATATCCAGGGTTGCAGTCTGAGGCTGCAGATGCTGTAACACCAGTCTGCTCCACATTGTGATTAGAAGACAGCAACAGCTCAGCAGATAATTCATTTAATATGAAAACTTCTTTCTAGCCCACACAGCCCAGTGTGAAACAGTTAGAACAGTAATTTTGCAGTACATAGGAGAGGAGCACAGTGATGTATATCACAGCAGCAGAGCACTGTGGTCCAGCAGCATCAGTTTATCTTGATCCAGCTCTACAGATGTGGAACATCATCACCCTGTTCCATGCTGGTGCAGTGATGTGGTCGCAGATGCAGACACTACAGTGGTACAGTAGATACACAGAAAAGATTGCAGAATGGAGAATGTCATTATTGCAGTAACAGCAAAAAGGAGCAGTTCAGGACTAGAGGGTTGTGTCTGAGGGAGACAGATTTGTAGCTGTGCAGAAAAAAAGACAGAGTGAAGGAAGAAGCGCCGTGTTTATATAACCAGCACAGCAATATAGTGCACTGTGGGTGTGTACTCCAGGAGAATGCTAAGATACTGCCAGGATACAGGATGCAGTGATATTTTATTAATTAGGCTTATGCTATATTGGTGCAGTGATGTTCTAATACCATTAAGCAGTAATACTCTTTTAGGATATTTTACCATTTTGTAATTGAGTGGTACACGAATTAAGAAAAGTAGGGTAGTGTAATGATGCATTAAGTATAAGCCAGGATGTCATCTTAGCCTAATGACATGTTTGCACACCAGCTCGGTGCAGCAGTTGCAGAAGAGCACCTGCTGTGGACTTTCTGTTGGGCTGGGATGCAGCGCGTGCAGCTCCGAGCGTCTGGAGAGCTGCACTGACAATGCAGTGGTGTGGTAACGCAGTCCTGGGGCACAGCAGAGATGTGATACTGGTGCCGTGTGGTAGGAGTTTGGCAGTGCACGGGTGTGATAATTGTGGAGTGTTGTAGCCTGACAGAAGAGTTTAGCAGTCTACTGATGTAGTAATACAATATTGCAGACAAGAGCCATTCTGTACAGCAGTGATCACTTCTGGTGTGATATTTGCAAAGGGCTGCGCTGATCTGACAGCACCATCCCGCTGTAGCAGAAGGCAGCAAGTGAAGTATTACCACCATGCCACAGTTTTGGAAGCACAGCTGAGTTAGCAAGAGGACAACGCCACAGACTTACCTGGTGACAGTGCAGTGTGAGTACGGGCTGGTTTTATGCGGGACAGTGGGACAGCAGTGTTTTAAAGTGGCCCTGCAGTGGCAGAGGCTCAGTGCAGTGCAAGAGCAGTGCTGTGATTCACGGGTGTACCTGGCAAGGGATGTGCATATGATAATGCAGCAAAGTGGGGAAATGGCAAGAAAAGGGAGCATGAGGAAGATGTTTCATGTGATTTTGGCCTGACAGGATAGTGTTGAAGTGGCCAAGTGGCAAAAGTGTGTTGTGAAGCATAAGGGAGCATGCTTATTACCCCTGCAGAGCAGAGAGTCCTGTGGTGTCTCTAGTGTGGCTACAGATCACCGTTCAGCAACAGAAGAGGAGTGGTGACCCCTCAGCAGCTGGGATGGCGGGGAGGTGGCAGCCTGGCAGCAAGACACAGTTTATTAATGTGACAACAGTAGCAAGAGCAGCACAGAGACCGGGACAGCAGTGCGGTGGCAGCAGGACCGCAGTGCAAGTTTTGTGGCATTCCTGGGGCAGCGGTGCAGTGGCTGCGGTGCCCACAGTGCAGCAGTGCCACGGTGATGTGGCTGCAGTGCCCACGGTGCAGCGGCCGCCTGGCACCTGGCTCACCACGGCTCTGTGCAGGGACTGCGGCACAGACAGCCACTGGTTCTCATTGCTTCATTCCTCCTGTGCCTCAGTGCTGGCCTAGCTGGCATCTTCAAGAACAGCTTTTTCCGGGCATTTGCTATGCAATATTAATTTGTAAGCGATCCTGCCATGTGAGACCTGAACGTTTTCAGAGCCGTTTAGCTTTCACACCCTACCTGACTGTTAAATTTTTCAGTGAAGTGATTCCCCAACAGTTTTCTGTCAATTGCCTCCGGTAGCATGGGGATCAAAGGGGTCAAACAATTGCCGTAGAGAATCATGAAATATTTACAGGGTTCTGCTGTTAGCACTGTGGCCAAAGGGGCTTTTGTATTTCTATTTGTACAGGGAGTTTAAAGCCTCTCCTGCACCATCTCCCATTCCTGCTTAAATGTCACTGTCCACATTACCATTAAAATAGGGAAGGAATCTTTCTGCATTTCCTGTGAAATTTTCCTTTTATTTTCCTCCTCCGTCCCCCTTTATTCTTGAGCTTTAGTTCTTAACAGGTTTTAACGGACCTTACAGCAAACTGGGATGACAGAAGTGGCCCCCTTTTGGGACAGAAAATGTGGAAAGCATGTGTGGAAAGCATGTCAAGAACATTCTCCTCTGACCAGCTGAGAGTGTGTAGGGAAAAGGTGCCTTGTCCAGCCTTTCTGGTCTTCTCATCTGCCAGATAACTTTGTTCCCTCCAATGTCTTTGGCTTCAGCTGATTCTAACAGGCATTTTGCCCAAGAGCAGTCACTGCATCAGGACCATTCTTGGAGATCCATCCGTGGAGAAGTAGGAAGCCCTGGCCAGTCCTGCCAGGGTAGAGTGGCTCCTGGCTTAGTAATGGAAGTTTTCATCTGGCCCTGTGTGTTAGTGAGGGAGGCCGCCATGGAAACTTTCATGTGTCACGCTGTGGGGTAGCGAGGTGAGGGTGAAAGATCTGGGTTTCCAGGTTCTCACATGCTGTGTTGTGCCTGTAAGGCAGGTGAAGCAGTGGCATGTCAGGGCTGGTGACAAACTGAGACAGTCTCTAA